AAATACGAGTAAACAGGGACAAAAGGGAAAAATAATCAACGCCTACGGGAAGACTTGTTCCCGAACACGACACCATTATTTGATGTGGATAACATATATTTCGTGCCCCATCGCGTTTTGAAGCAAAATCGTATACATTTAAAGAAGTCAAAGAAAATACGAGTAAATTGGGACAAAAGGTAAAAAATAATCAACGTCTCCGGAATGACTTGTTTTCGAACACCACACCATTATTTGAAGTGGATAACATATATTTTGTGTCCCATCGCGTTTTGAAGCAAAATCGTATACATTTAAAGAAGTCAATGAAAATACAAATAAATAAGGACAAAAGGGAAAAATAATCAACGTCTACGAAATGACTTCTTTTCGAACACAACACCGTTATTTGATGTAGATAACATATATTTCGTGCCCCATCGCGTTTTGAAGCAAAAATCGTATACATTTAAAGAAGTCAAAGAAAATACGAGTAAATTGGGACAAAAGTGAAAAAACTATCAACGTCTCTGGAAAGACTTTTTTCGAACACCACACCATTATTTGATGTGAATAACATATATTTCGTGCCCCATCGCGTTTTGAAGCAAAATCATATACATTTAAAGAAATCAAGGAAAATACGAGTAAATAGGGACAAAAGGGAAAAAATAATCAACGTCTCCGGAAAGACTTGTTTCCGCACATGACACCATTATTTGATGTGGATAACATATATTTCGTGCCCCATCATGTTTTGAAGCAAAATTGTATACATTTAAAGAAGTCAAGGAAAATACGAGTAAATAGAGGCAAAAGAAAAAAAAAAAATAATCAACGTCTCTGGAAAGACTTGTTTTCGAACACAGAACATTATTTGATGTGTATTTCGCACCCCATCACGTTTTGAAGCAAAATAGTATACATTTAAAGAAGTCAAGGAAAATATGAGCAAATAGAGGCAAAAGAAAAAAAATAATCAACGTCTCCGGAAAGACTTGTTTCCGAACATGACACCATTATTTGATGTGGATAACATATATTTCGTGCCCCAACATGTTTTGAAGAAAAATTGTATACATTTAAAGAAGTCAAGAAAAATACGAGTAAATAGAGGCAAAAAGAAAAAAAATAATCAACGTCTCTGGAAAGGCTTGTTTTCGAACACAGAACCATTATTTGATGTGGATAACATATATTTCGCACCCCATCACGTTTTGAAGCAAAATCGTATACATTTAAAGAAGTCAAGGAAAATACGAGTAAACAGGGACAAAAGGGAAAAATAATCAACGCCTACGGGAAGACTTGTTCCCGAACACGACACAATTATTTGATATAGATAACATATATTTCGTGCCCCATCGTGTTTTGAAGCAAAACCGTATACATTTAAAGAAGTCAAAGAAAATACCAGTAAATTGGGACAAAAGCTAAAAAATAATCAACGTCTCCGGAATGACTTGTTTTCGAACACCACACCATTATTTGATGTGGATAACATATATTTCGTGTTCCATCGTGTTTTGAAGCAAAACGTATACATTTAAAGAAGTCAATGAAAATACAAATAAATAGGGACAAAAGGGAAAAAATAATTAACGTCTACGGAATGACTTCTTTTCGAACACGACACCATTATTTGATGTGGATAACATATATTTCGTGCTCCATCGCGTTTTGAAGCAAAAATTGTATACATTTAAAGAAGTCAAAGAAAATACGAGTAAATTGGGACAAAAGGGAAAAAATATCAATGTCTCCGGAAAGACTTGATTTCGAACACCAGGCGATGAATCGGTCGCGGGCCGCGACGTGTCTCCTTGGCCGCGAAGGAGCTCCGAGGCCGCGAGTGTTCACGAGTTGAAGTTAGGAGTCTGCAAGTGGCAATTGGTCGCCGCGGCCGTGGAAAACAAACTTCCCGCGGCCCGCGGCGACTAACATGTAATTTTTTTTTTTTTTTTTTTTTTTTTTTTTTTTTTTT